AGGAACCACGTGCCGTGAAACGAATGTAGGCACAGACTTTATGACTCACACTGAAAGTCACTCCAAATTGTCTGCAGGCAAATTGAACATATACTAAACCATAAAAAATTACAGAGGATCACAGAGGAGAATATCAACACGGCAATGGGTCTCGTCATGTCCATCTTGAGCTGTGACTTTCAACACACATCATGAAGAGCCCTCACACGAAAGGAAACAAAATCTAACAATTACTTTATTAAATGAAAATTTCTCCATGCTGAAATACATTATGCCGAAAGCCAGAAAACAAGCCACAAAGTGGAAGAGAAATCTTATTTGCCTAACAGAGGCCAAAGATAAAGAATTTTTCCTCAGAGTAGACAAAGAACTAGAAAACAAACAGCTCCATTCAAGGTAAGTCAAGATCTGAAGAGACACTTCGCCTACAAAGATATACAGAAAATACATAAGGGGACAGAAATATGAACCATATAGGATTTATGAGGAATGCAAAATTACAACCACAAGACAGCACTACACACCTCTGTGTCCTGCTAACCTTCCGAAATGCTGATACCCATCACTGGAGGATGAGGTACAACAGCAACTCTTCTTGCTGATGAAATGCAGATAATGGCCCCTGGAGACACAACTGGGCATCATGGGCCAAAGCCAAAAAGGCTAAGACCTGCAGACCACCTGGTAGGCCTCCAAGCTTTCATGCAGTTGCTTTGAAAACCTGTATACAAACAAAAACAAAAACGATGTTTTGCTGAGAAGTTCCACTCATGCTGTCTACACCTTAAAGGAATCAAGAGGTCTTCAATACATGTGTGCCTCTGCAAAGGGGAGCAGGGTGTACATATCAGCAAAGGGGAGCAGAAAAGGACACCCCAAAATGTGGAATGCCAACGGACCCCACAGCTCTACCAGAGTTATAAAAAAAAAAAAAATCCCTCAAAATTGAAGGCTCAGACCTACTACTTTCAAATGTTCTGAACACAGCCCCTGGGAAATGAAACACGGTGAAACTGGCATGAGGATATATACTGAGATGAATGGAATTGAAACGTGATCCCAGAAATTAATCCATTGTTCTGTGGGGAAGAGTCGAGAGACCCCAGGAAGAACACACACGTCCCTGGTGTGCTAGCTGAAGACAATGCTGCAAGGGACCTAGAGCAGTGAAAGGATGGTCATGCTAACAAAATAAAAAGACCTAGATTATGGAACATCATGACCCTAAAAGAGGACACCAGTCTCCTTCCCCACCCCACACAAGACTGACTAAAATTCACAATTTTCCTCCCCCATTTATTCCTCTGCTGGGACCTCTGAGATGGACCTCCCTGCCCCTGGTATCCCCAACCAGCAGCCCCCATCAGGAAACATCTTCCCCTCATTTCCTCATCTTTCCCTACCAGGCCAGCACCTCCCAGCAGGTCCAGAGAAAACTTAGCTACCCTCCATGTGGATTCAGCTCCACATTTTCCCAAAGAAATTCGACACGGCCATGTGTCTGGTCACATCAGTCACGAGCTGTAATTTTCAACACACACCCTGAAGAGCCCTCACACAAGAGGAAACAAAAAGCAACAACACATACTTTATTAAATGAACATTTCTCCTCTCTGACATACCTTAATCTGAAAGCCAAAAGTGCAGCTACAAAAAAATGGAGGTAATGAATACAAAAAAAAAAAGAAAAGAAAACCTTGAAACTGGCAGAGAAAAATATTTGCTGAATACACATGGGATAAAGAATATTTACTCACATAAGACATAGAACTAGAAAAGCATCAACTACACTCAAAATACATAAACATCTGAATAGACAGGATGGGCAACACCTACAGATCCGGGGAAAGGGCCAAAGAGTGTCTGCTTTTTGACTGTGTGCTCCTGTGTGGAAGATAGTGACAAAGCTGCCAGACAGGGCCAGAATGTGCGAAAGAGTCTGGGGCATTGATGCCATGGATTGAAATAAATTCAGTGGACTCCCCAATTTTGTGAACATCTTTCCAGGACAGTTAAGAGCACAGATGGGCACTCACTAGGCAGGGATACGTTTCAGTGGTCGGCCATGTAGCGATTCAATTGGAGGTAGTGAGCCTGGATGTAGAGGGTCCTGTTGGGAAACTCCTGGGATATTCCTGTAAGAAAAAGTTGAGTCCTGCGCCAGGGCAATTGTTGTGAGGCTGGGTCGTTGGGAAGAGGCAGTACAGATATTCGAGTGGCAGAATCAAGTACCGGGAGTTAGTTGTAGGAGGGACGGCAAGGAAGGAGTCCCATCTATACTCAGATTTCTGGCTCAAACAACTGGACTTAACACTGCACCAGCTGGCACACTGTAAGTAGATGGGTCACGAAGCAGGTGCACACAGACAATAAGCAGTTCAGTGATGGGTGTCAGACACATTGTGAAAGCCCCTGTGGAATAAAGGTGTGCTCGTCTGAACTCTGACTCCTGGTTCATTCTGACTGCCCAGTTTTGTACATCACACCTTGTCAGTTTTAAAACACACATCCTTTTTCAGTTCTCTGAAATCAGGATTTTTTAAATGACTGTGTGACATGGTTTAGTGGGCAGTGTACTTTTTTAGAGGTACATAAAATAGTGGTCCTTCTTATAATGGACGAAATCTTGGCTTTGGTGAAATACAATAATGTCTGTCAAACTCAGAAGAAAATAATACATGAATGTCTCTCCTTATGTCCTAAATTTTACCGTGTTCCAAAAAGATCTGAAGTACCCTTTCAAAATAAAGCTCGTAGGACAGGACAATTTCTGTAGAAAGACAAAATCCATGCCTGGGATCAAATATTGGAAAGAATCCTCAGAAGGCCCTTCTCTCTCACAGGAGGGGTTATTGGGTGACTGTGTTTACAGCTCAAATAAAAACAACAGAATGGGAATTCCCTGATGGTCCAGTGGTTAAGAGTTGGCCTTTTCACACTTTCACTGCTGTGGCCTGGGTTCAGTCCGTGGTTGGGGAACTAAGATCCCAGAAGGCTTTTGGCACAGCCAATATAAAAACAAAAAACACAGAAGGACAAACAAGCTTCCAGAAGCTCCCAATCCTAAGAACTAAAACTCAAACCAGGAGACAGAATAATCTAGAAAAAAAAAATAACAGGAATAAATTGACTTTCAGACAGCACAGAGATGGGTGTGGCCTGGAGGTCTCAGGAATGGCATCTTTTAAAAAGAGTGGATTTGGTGGGGACTTAAGGGCTTCATTGCTGCTCTTCCCAAAAAGAATATGATGAAAGACAAGGCCCATTAATATCTTAGTGATACTGTTCAAGGGCTTCATACAGCTTCACTGAAGAACTGAACAAACATCTCCTGGGACAAATAAAACATTCTGAAAGAACAGCCTGTGTGCTTTCTAGACTGTTCTGTGGCACAACACACAGCTGGGTCCACACTCATTTTGGGAGAAGCCAGGCTGCTGCCACATGCAGGAAGCAGAGCCTCTGACTCACTGAAAGTAGTGAGTCCTTCCACATTGGGGTTCACAATGCAGACCATGTGGCTGCCTGCCTCCTCCACACCGTAGCAAAACAAGGGCTCCAAGACATCAGCATCTGAAACCCCAAGGGCCTTACTTCAACTCTCTTCTGAAACTTTGCATCTCCCCACCCATCACTGAATGCCAAGTCACCCCTTTCCTTTCCACAGCTCTGACCTTTTCCAGCTTCTGTAACCAGGCTCTACCTGGGGCTCATAAGAATAGCAATAGGACTTCCCTGGTGGTACAGTGGTTAAGAATCCACCCGCCAATTCAGGGGACATGGGTTCAAGCCCTGGTCCAAGAAGATCCCAAACGCCGCGGAGCAACTAAGCCCATGTGCCACAACTACTGAACCTGCACTCTAGAGTCCATGAGCCACAACTACTGAGCCTGCAAGCTACAACTACTGAAGCCCGCGTGCCTAGAGCCTGTGCTCCACAAGAGAAGCCACCACAATGAGAAGCCCACGCACCGCAACAGAGTAGCCCCCGCTTACCGCAACTAGAGAAAGCCTGTGTGCAGCAACGAACACCAAACTGCCAAAAATAAATTTAAATAAATAAATAAAACAAGAATAACAATAAGTATGGAAGTGTTCATACTAACAGCTACAATTTTTGAGAACCTGCCATGTGCCATGCTTTGTTTATATGCTCTCATTTAATTCTCACACAAATTCCTTGGGAGCATGAATCCCATTTTCTTAATGAAATCCTGGACAGTGAAGGCAGAAAAATATGGTTCCTATGTATCAGTTTAAAGAAAAATATCTTCTTTAAGTCGGGGGGGGGGAAGGTGGTATATTAGTATTTGTTATGTTATTCCTTATACGTCTATGTTTCCACAGCCAATTTCTTTTCATTAATAGAAAAATGAGCCTGAAGTTTACCACTCAGCCTAAAAACACCACCACTACAAACACCAAGAGAATAGCAGGAAGAGGTGCTGCTGGCCTCTTGTACCCCCACACCCAGAGATGCCTTCACCTCGTTTATTTTGACTACTTAAAGGCTACACCTGAGGGAGAAACAGAGAAATAATAAGCAAAAGGACCAGATTCAGGAAACTCTTGCTTTACAAATACATGTGGCCAGAGGTCTTTAAATTGTTAGGCACAAACTCTTATTAAAAATAATGGTTCCAGAGAAGGGCGTCAGCTCACCCCCTCTCACAAAAACACCAAAATCACAACTAACTGCTATGATCACCACACAGCAAATCACAACAAAAAAACAATGGAACCTACCAAAAAAATTATCCTACATCCAAAGACACAGAAGAAACCACAATGAGATGGTAGGAGGGGCTCAACTGTGATAAAAATCCAATCCCATACCCACCAGGTGGGCAAAGCACAAACTGGAAAATAATAATATCGCAGAGGTTCCCACAGCAGTGAAAGTTCTGAGCTCCACATCAGGCTCCCCAGCCTGGAGGTGTGGCATCTGGAGGAGGAGACCCCAGAGTATCTGGCTTTAAAGACCAGTGGGGCTTGATCGCAGGAACTCCACAGGACTTTGGGAAACAGAAACTCCACTCTTGGAGAGAGCATACAAGGTCTTGTGTGCATCAGGACCCGGGGGAAAAAGCAGTGACTTCATAGGAGCCTAGGCCAGACCTACCTGGTGGTATTGGAGAGTCTCCTATAGAGGTGGGGGGTGACTGTGGCTCAATGAAGGGACAAAGACACTGGTGGTGGTAGTTCTGGGGGATTCTCATTGGCGTGAGCCCTCCTGGAGGCCACTGTTTTCTCACCAAGACCTGGCCCTACCCAACCTATAGGCTCCAGTGCTGGGACTCCTCAGACCAAACCAACAGGGCAGGAACACATCCACACCCATCAGCAGATAGGCTGCCTAAAGTCTTCCTGAGCTCACTGCTTCCCACTAAAGACACCCCTTGACACAGCCCTGGCTACCAGAGGGACAAGACCCAGATCCATCCACCAGTGGGCACGAACAAGTTCCACCCACCAGAAAGCCTGCACAAGCTTCTTAGACCAGCCTCATCCTCTAAGGGGTAGACACAAGAAGCAAGAAGAACTACAACCATGCAGCCTGCAGGACGTAAACTGCAATCACAGAAAGTTAGACAAAATGAGATGGCAGAGGAATATATCCCAAACGAAGGAACAAGATAAAGCCCCAGAAGAACAACTAAGTGAAGTGGAGATAGTCAATCTACCCAAAAAAGTATTCAGAGTAAAGACAGTAAAGATGAT